AGTGTTGTTTGTAGGTAGTTTATATATTGGGAAAGTACTATACGAAATTTGGTTTTCTCTCATACTTCATATGAATAGTGAATGAGTAACTGGGATATGGGCCAAATTAAACACGGATAAACTCACATTAGTGGAAAGATTGGCTTTCAAAGCTTTTGGTTTTGCCTTTTCAATCACTGACAGTGCATGTTATTGTTGTGCAGCTGCTACTGGGCTATCTAACCAATGACCGCTCGCTGTGGGACAGGAGTTTTTTTTTTTTTTTTTGCGAATTAGTCGTTGTTGTTTTGATGATGTATTCTTATTAACATTTCCATGTATAACTTGATCGTAGCAATAATCAAGTGGAACTGGATAATGCAATTGGCTTACTTCATTATTCCTGCTCCACAACATAGGTTCACTGTGGTTTGAGAAAAAGAAAATGATGTAAGAAATCTTTGAGCCAACTATTGCACAGCTTATTTTGCCATTTAGTTTCAGAAAAAAAAAAACTTTCTGCTTGAGTGTGCAGTGTGTACCTGCACATATGCTGTTGGGTTCGTTGCATGTATGAACAGCTTTGCCCTCCTTTATTGCTCTTTTATTGGTAACTGATGCTGTCTGGAATTTTTCTTTCATACAGTACTCAGAGATTATGGAGCAGATTGGCCATGATGTAAAGCGCACCCACCCTAACATGCACTTCTTCTGTGGTGACTCATCTTTTGCAAAGTCCATTCAGGTAAATGATGGTTCAATGGTGACATGAAAAGAATCTATTGGGTTCACGATGCAAATATGGTCCTCTGTTCTATAGTAGTACTATTGTGTTAGCTTGGTAGTGGCGTTGCAAAATGTAAACATGTTAGGATTTTCATTTATCTGTTCATGTTAACTAGACGATGCTTGAGATAAACGGATAATGCCTTTCATGGCCATACATGCTAATAACAAAAAAAAAAAAATCTTTGAAGGCAATATACCCTGTTGTTTAGAAATAGTAACCATTCAGATTACTTTTGCTTTTTGTATTGCTAATTTTGTTGATTTATTCTGTAAATTGATTATCCTGCACAGGCTTCTTTTTCTTTTCTATTGTGATGGTTATGGAGTGTAGTAGATTGATGCTGAATTTTTTGCCGGTCTGAATCACATGAACCATGCTAGGGTTGTATGAGGACAACATATACAATTCTGAATAAAAAAAGGTGCACCTGAAACAGGTTTATATTATTGGACTAGGTTATGGTGCCGAGGTGGATCAGAAACTCAAGTATGCTAATGATCTTTCGTCGGGTGTGCTATTCGGAAGAGAGCTTGTGGACTCTCCTGCAAATGTCCTTACCCCTGGTCAGTAGATCTTTCATCAAACTTTGATTGTTCTTCATAGATTTATTGTCGGTATACTCTTGACGCTGGAGGGAAGGCTAACGCTTGTTGATGCGTTGGTCTATGCTTGCAACCAAGGTGTTGAAAAGGTAATGAAGCTTCATTTGAAAGTTCTCTATGCACTGTCATTAGTGTATTTCTAATGTAGCCCCACTCATGTGGGGAAATGATCAATTCATCCCTCTGATTTTGTAAGTCATTTAGGACATTGACACAATCTCCAATATAACACTTTCTTAAGTTTTTTCAGTAAAAGTAGTATTTTAAATAGAGACATTTATAATTTTTTATGAAAATAATTTCTAGGGCTACTTCATCGGCGTGCCTCAGTTCTGCACTCAGCTTACCCGGCATGTATTGCAAAATAATGAAAATTTGGCATTGATGGAGACTGTGTTAGTTTGAGTTGGATGCTATGCATGTGGAATCCGGTCAAGCAGCTGACGATTGTACTTTGTACATTGACATTGCCTTATTTTTTGGCTTCATTGGGGCTTGGTGGTGAAATCATATGGTATATTTCTGTTGAACCATGCATGTATCGAAGATTATAGCATCTGATGTTGAAGATATATGAAGGTTATGTCTTTTGAATAAAATTCCTATTCTGTACCAATTATTGATCTAACCCAAGTTCCTTACAGGTGTTGGCATCTAAAGCTGGTGCTATAACACAAGGGATTGGAGCAGATCAGGTTGGTGCTAACAATACTAGATTTTTTCTTTCCACTAGGTTCGTGTTGGGCATCCACGCTCTTGTGCTCTGTTCTGCATCCAGTATGGCACTGCAAATGTTGCAACCTGTTGCCAGAGTCGTTCTTCACCATGCAGGCAGTCCTCATTGAAGCAAACTATGATGAAGGTTCACTTTGCCCTTCGGCATTCTGCAGAGGTCGATGTTCCTGCTCTCTCTACCTTGCCAAGCATAGAAAATATATATTAGTAGACAGCCTCCAGATGTAACATCAAATAGTAATATCGTAGTGCATTAGTGATCAGTGCTAAATTTGCACTGGTCCATGTTGTTTGCTCTAATATAGTCGAACATTTATGCTTGGCAATGGACGAAGTTTTGGTCTTCATGTCTGTTAGTTGATCTCGACTGGGACTACTGCTGGGCCGATGTTGATGTGATCGGAAATTATTTTGTTCACGTTACAACGCACAGGCACCCCTTATAATACACCAGAATTTGCCGGGCCTATTCATTATATGACAAAAATAGTTGGTTACAAAATATATGAAACGTGAACCTTAATGAATGTATATGATTGTTCATTTTATTTTTTAATAAATTTTATTTTGTTCTGTATTTTACCGTATGCGTTAGCGGGCGGGCACACTACTAGTTTAAACATAAAGTGCAAGCGAAAACAACATGTTAAGCACATATCCAATACTAAACGTAGTTAAGTAACACTTTTCTGAGCTAATATGTGGCACAAACAATATAGATGCCTGGCTGATCCCTAAACCGAGCTTGCCTGGTATTGCAACTGAAGCTAGGGTTTTGGCTTTGCTCTCTCTCTCTCTCTCTCTCTCTCTCTCTCTCTCTCTCTCTCACTCACTCTTGTCTCACACTCAAGTTTCCTCACTTGGGTTTACTTGAGCACTATTGCTCGTTTCAAACTCAGTGGTGCATCTCTCTTGATAGTGTGGCATATACCTCATTTAAGAGTTAAGTATAGAAACAGTTTACACTCTACTTGAGCTTTCATCCATCCGTTGCATGCCACATTGATCGTGCATTGAAGGTCTTCATCGCTTCACATTTTGAGCATGTCAATCCTGAGCATGTGACTTGAGTCGAAGGTTTCAAGTCACTTTTATCATTTGATTTGATCCTCCACATCAACATGACTTCCCATAGCTTGATTAGTACCTCGGCTAATTACAAGTACTTTCTTCACCTTAGCTGAGTTCTTCGGCCGCCAAGCCGTCGCTTGCCCTTCACCCTTGCTAAGTATCCCGAAGCTTTTTCTTGCTATCTTCACCTTCTCAAGCCATCAAGTCATAGCTTGCTTCAAACCATCTTTAAGCATATAATGAATACCATTTCATTTGTATTGTTGTCTTCTACTTGAACTAGATTGTTTCCATCAATAAGCCACACAAGCATTGACAATTGACCATAGGCATGTAGTATTGCAAGCTTTATAGTTGAGACCAACCATGGGCAAGCCCTCATGTCTCACTTATTTGATAGCACACTTACTTGCCAAATCATGCATTTCAATAATCAATCTTCAACTCAATTCATATTTATATCCATCACAACACATGATACGAGTCCAACATATAGAGTAATATACATCGTGGGCCCTTAAACTTGTCTTAGGGTGCCACTTAGGTCCACAAACTCTCTAATCGTACTTCTGGCACCATAATGTTGTTTAAGTATACCACTTAGGTCCATAACTTATCGGAACAAGGTTTTGGCCGACGTGGCGTGGACAGCGTGGCGCAAGCGCAAGTTGCATGCACGAGCAGCCGCACAGGAACATGCACGAGCCTTGAAGACGGCGTGCATGGAGACGTCACGCTCGTCTAGGCGCACGCCATAGCTGCGCAGGATGCGGGCACGGAGACCAGCCCTGCCCTCCTCGCGCGGCCGCTCACCGGCGAGCCCGTGCCCCGGCGACTCCTCGTCCCCGCCCCAGCGCTCCCCGGCTCTGCTGCGGCCTGCACCGCGCCGTCGCCAGCCACCCCAGCCCTGCTCTGCTGGCTGCTGCGGCCTGCTCTGCTCTGCTGCCGTGGCTCGTCGGCGACTCGGCCACTCGGAGACTGGCGCCGTGCCTCGCGGAGCCTGGAGCCAGCCAGTGACGCGCCAGTGCGCGGCCGCGGTGCCCGCTGGCCGAAGCCGCCCGCGCCGTGGAGGTCCGGCCGCGGCCGCTCCACGCCCGGCTCGCGCGTCTCCCCGTGCCGACCCGCCTCGACGCCATGGAGGTGCTCGCCGTCGGTGCACCACCCCAGCAGCCGGACGATGTTGCGGTGCCGGAGGTGGCCCAGCACCTCCACCTCGGCGAACGTGGGGGCCGTCGATCGGTGAGGCTGCAGGCATCAGCACCGCATGGCCACAACGGAGAGCACCATGCCCACGCCCATGCGCTGGAGCAGCGTGACGCCGCCCTCGACGCCGGTGAGCCCTTCCTGTCCGGCCGAGCGCGCGAGGCCACGCGGCAGCAAGCTTCTGAACAATTGGCCACGTTTAAAATTTCCGAACTGAATGAACTGATCAATACCACCTCAAATATACAAGCTGAAACTCAATCTTCGGCTCCCTCAAACTCTCAAACCAGCCCGATCCAGCGAAAGGTGTAGTAACAAAAATTGAAGAGCTAGAAGCGATCTACAAGTTTGTTTACATGACTTTGGGATTATTCGGTTCGGTGTGCAAACTACAGACCTCGGGTTCGCGCTGGACCTGGTGAGGAACCCGGCGTGGCTGACGTCCGACACGATGTACGTCCTGGACAGCGCGAACAGCGGCCGCCCCGTGAGCACCATCAGGTCCGCCACCGACAGCAGGTAGTCGTACGTGACCGCCGACTTGGCCTTCCTCATCAGGCACGCTGGGAGACGAGACGTACCTGCCCCTGGGCGTCCAGGCGCGGCCGCCCAGGCTCAACATGGCGGAGGCGCGGATGGAGGCCGAGGCGGTCATGTTCGGGTGCCTGGACGCGCTGTGACGTGCGCATCCTCATCGTCAACTGCAGCCTCTTCAACCCGACGCCGTCGCTGGCATCCATGATCATCAACCACTACAGGATGCGCGAGGACGTCAAGTCGTTCAACCTCGGTGGCATGGGGTGCAGCGCCGGCCTCATCGCCATCGACCTCGCCAAGGACATGCTCCAGGCGAACCCAAGCTCGTACGCCGTCGTGCTCAGCACCGAGAACATCACCCTCAACTGGTACTTCGGCAACGACCGCTCCATGCTCCTCTCCAACTGCATCTTCCGCATGGGCGGCGCGGCGGCGCTGCTGTCCAACAAGCGCTCGGACACCGGGCGTGCCAAGTACCGGCTGCTCCACACGGTGCGCACACACAAGGGCGCCACCGACGAGTGCTTCAACTGCGGTGGCCACCGTGGCGCTGCAACTATGTTCGAGCACTTCTGCGTGCACGCCGGCTGCCGCGCGGAGCTGGAGGAGGTGCAGCGCAGCCTGAGCCTGCAGGACACGGACATGGAGCCCAGCAAGTGCGCCCTCCACCGGTTCGGCAACACCAGCAGCAGCTCGCTGTGGTACGAGCTGGCGTACGCCGAGGACAAGGGCCGGGTGCAGCGCGGCCACCACGTGTGGCAGATCGGCTTCGGCTCCGGGTTCAAGTGCAACAGCGCCGTGTGGCGAGCGCTCCGCGACGTGCCGGCGCTGTCGTCGTCGTCGACCGGCGCCGCGGCCCCGTGATGTAGGCGCAGTTGATCAACTGGTCCCCGGAGACCGGGTACCAGAGCAGGCGCACCCCGTGCTGGATGGCCTCCAGCGTGGAGTTCCAGCTGCAGTGGGCGAGGTAGCACCCCACGGCGGCGTGGCGGAGCACGTCCTGCTGCGACGCCCAGTCCACGAGCTTGCCCCGCCCCGCCACGCGGTCCACGAACCCGTCGGGGAGCCCCGTGCGCCAGGACGCGTGCCTGTACGCAGCGGCGGCTCGTGCATGTTCCTATGCGGCTGCTCGTGCATGCAGCTTGCGCTTGTGCCACGTTGTCCACGCCACGTCGGCCAAAACCTTGTTCCGATAAGTTATGGACCTAAGTGACATACTTAAACAATATTATGGTGCTAGTATTACGATTAGAGAGTTTGTGGACCTAAGTGGCACCTCAAGACAAGTTTAAGGGCCCACAATGCATATTACTCAACATATAATAATCAACCTGAGACTAAACAATTGCAAATCTCATGAATGCCGCCGGTCCGCTGAGAAGCAGAGGTGTGCATCGGCGGGTAGGGTTGGCTCGAGGGCTCTAGGCGCCACAGGCCACAGCACCGGCCACCGGGGTGGGGAAGAGCGGGGGCAGGGCATCGTGTTGCTGCAGCTAGGCGCCATTGGGAAGGTCGGAAGGAACATGGGCGACAGTCGGAGGAGTAGAAGAGCTAGGGGCGTCGGCTGGAGTGCCTCTCCTTGCGGCTGGGGAGGGGGGCGGGTCGGGTAGAGAGTGGGGGCTTCTCTAGGGTTCTAAACGAGGAGCAATATATAGCTCCAATTGGTATTGGGCTAGGTTGTGTGTTCCTTACTTGGGCCTTCCTATGGTTATTCGGTTTCTTTGGTTCTTTCGGTTAACCGAAGTCCAGGAACCAAACTAACGATCAAATTTTAGTTCCTGAAAACTGAGAACCGAACAGCTACGGTTCATTCGATTCGGTTTTCGGTTATTTTTGCCCAACGCAGTAGCCTGATAGCGAGCGGAAGATTCAATTTGGCGCACCGGAATCCTCTGGTGTTTAAATATCCCCTTTCCCTTTGTTATTGAAGTGCATTCTAACTATATTAAATCTTTTATGTGGATAGAAGTAATTTTAGTTATAATCATGAAATCAATTTTTTACTTCTATGGAAACATGCATGATAATTTTGTAAAGAGCACAACAGCATGACTCTTAATTTTTGAGACAGGATTATAGGCATATCCCTTCATTTCCAGAATGATAACTAACATATCAGGTAACGCATTGAATTTCAAAACCTGACTGAGGTCCTGGATACACTTATATATATCAGCGGGCTGAGAACCGCAGTAACATAGAAAACTTTTCGTGGGTGATAACTGAATTGTGAATTCTGAGAACTTAAAAAAAAAACTTCTACAACCAGAATGCTATAGGAGAAAAGAAATTTGTATGCCTAGCTACTCGGTAGGAGACTGAGGTCTTGTGATTCGTGAAACGCAGCTCTCCCTTATTATTGTATTTGAGGCCAAACATAGTCAGATGGAGCACACAGCTATCATCATCACCCAAGAGGTACTTAGCTTTGGCTTCCTCGCACATGGCACTGCGGATGAGGCAAAATTTGCTTCTACCCATGTAGGTGAGAGAGGCCACCAAGTGCTTCTCAGTTTCCCGGCGAAACAATTTGTCCTCCACCAGTTGCCAATCCAATTCCACTGTGCCGAGCTCTATTGGAGTTTCGCTGCCGGTGTCAGAGGGAAGTTGGCAGCAACAAATATACCCATCCCAGCGAAGACCAACCCATGCATCTAGCTCGCTGTCAAAGTAACCTTCATCTCTGAAAGGTAGAGCCCAGGAATGCCACCTCCACACAGAATACTTAGTGTTGAAGGAGTAGGTGCTCTTCTGGAGACCTGGACGATCTCTGTAGGCTGTGGTCATGTAGATGGTGTGTCCATCTGAGTGCACAGCATATGATGTAATGGTCTCGTGGACGCTGAACAGCGGCGGCAATGCCGGGAGACTCCTCCAGAACCAGCCCACCTCAGCTGGACCGCGTGAGCCAGTCAGTGCGCATGACATCACATCAAAGGAGTGTTGTTCGTCATCATCAGAGGAGTGTTGTTCTTTACAAGCTGGAGGTGAAAATGCGTAGAACATTCCATGGGCAGCAACAACAGTACTGAAGCCACATTGCAGATGAGCAGGAATGGCAGGGCCAAGTGCCAGTGCCGCTGTCTCGGTGTCATAGATGAGGGCAGGGGTCTGTCCATAACGTGCATCGGTAACAATGAAGATCTTGTTTCCCATGGTGGCGAACAACATGTCCACGTCCCTTGGTGACTCTAACCGTAGTAGAGGAGGCTCGAGGAGGTGCTCTGCAACAGCAACCCTAGAGGAGTCCTGGTTGTCGTCGGAGTCAAAACTAGCAAGGTCAATCTTGTGGATGCTGTATCCCTTCTCCCAGTCATCCAAAACTAGATAGAGGTGCTGCCACCGTCTCTCTGGGCGTGACCTTTTGCAGGCCAAGTCTCCATTGCGGCGCTGGTTCTGGCCGTAGCCCTCCACTCGGCGCTTAGGCATCTCTTTCCTCCAGATAGTCGTGCGGTAGATCTGAAATTCCTGTTTTCGTTGCTGCTAGGGCGCCTAAAATCAAAGGGTTTGCAGCGGCGGGTGGACGCCTCCCCTCCCTTCGTGTATCTGGATCTATCTACGGATGCAAAACGAGCCTTTTTAGAAAAAAAAATTATACAGTTGCAGAGAGCAACATCACAAGTTGCAATCGAAGAGAAGTCGGATTCGAAACTGAATCTGGAACCACGAGTCTGTTGTGTACTGGCGCTGGCGGGCTCTCGGACCCGTGGAGAGGACACCGTAGATCCTTCCAAGCTGCTTGGCGGGCGGCTGGATCGATTGATGACACCCGATCGATCCAACCTGCTCAGCCTCAGCGGGCTGCCGGATCGATTAATCAACTATGCCACCTCTTCTCCAAACCCTACCTGCAATCCAGGCTGCAGCCCTCCTCTTATATGTTTATTTTCGGCCCTCCTTGCGCCGAGACTCGAGAGGATTTGCATCCATGGGCAACTTTGGAAGACCAGAGAGGACTCCTCGCGCGACACACGTGTCAGTTCTGCAACGTGTGTTTGGTTGCCTACATCTCCTGGGCCTTGGAAACGGACGTTGGGCTTTTGTTGCCGCCCTGCCCTTCCTCTTGCGCTTGATGACAGCAGTACTAGGAAGGAGTGTCGTAACAGTAGCATCAGTCTTAACTGATTCAATTCAACAAAATACACTAGGAACTTTGGAAATTCTTCTTATTTTTTGTAGCTCAGCAAAGTAAGCTTGTATTATCTGATTGTACATGTAAACTGAGATCTAGTAACACTAGATTATCCTCATCCTCAGATGGAAGAAGGGAGGACAAAGAGGAACCCGATATTATCTTCAACATTGTTTTGTTTTCTCTCTCTAACCTGACACATAAAAAAATTAGTGAATTCCTAAATCAGACCAATTCCATGAGAAATGGATCTCCTGAAGACATAACCCTGATTAGTTTTACAAAGTCCATCTCATTCTGAACCTTCACAGGGTACACTGCATGTGCTTCAGCAGTATAAATTGTTGAGAGTGTGGTATTTGATGGCAGATCTGCCCTATAGACAAGCTTTGTCAAAGCTTTGGATTCAAAGTTGCTCGGTGAATCCATTGCAAGGAATAACATGGGGACTGCAAAACTGTGATGAATGTCTAAGCTTCCAATAGCTTTAACAAGATTTGAAAAGACACCAATGTACCGCTGAGGTATGTAAAATATCTCACTGTTGCAACGAATTAGATTATTTTTCACCAACATTTTTGATGGATAAGTCTCATGTGTGGTCTTTGTGGGGCTGTACTGCTCACATGGTCCTTGTGGCTGTTTTTCTGCTTTTAGGACAGCATCTTAGACTAGAGGACAGCATCTTAGAGGACAGTATCTTAGACTAGAGGACAGCATCTTAGCTAGGACAGGACAGCATCTTAGCTAGGACAGCATATTAGCATCTTAGACTAGCATCTTGGCATATGCTTGGCTGGCTAGCAGACTATAAATATGTAACCCCAACCCCTCAGGTTGGCATGGCATTTGTGTGAGTTTGTGTGAGAAATAGACAAGAAAATTGCCCCAACTCTTAGTGTCATCCTCTCTCGATGAGAGTAAGAATTCTCCTACTACCAAGAGTGAGAATTCAGCGACTAATGCTGGATCTCTTGGGGACGCAGCGGAAGAGCTTTTCGACAGCTCTCTCCTCGCCGTAGGTGTCGTCGCCGAACTGCACCATCTTCTCGCTCGCAGAGTGTTAAGGCGGAGAGCAAAGTCATCAACGTCCTCACGGCTTGAAGGCCAGGTTCTCCCACTCCTTGCGAAGTGCTGCGGTGTGGACTTCTTGGCTGTGATGCTTGCCGTCGCGTGCGCAGCGATGGCGTCCCAAGCCTCCTTGGCGATCCGCTTCTTTGGTAAGCGAGAAGCGCATCTCAAAGGGACTGCAGCGATGAGAGCATCAAGCGCCCGTCGATCTAGGTCGTGGTCGGCGTCGCCCGTCGACCGGACCGCCTCCCACATGTGCCGCACTGGAGCTTTACCCTCATCACCGCAGACCCACTCGGCGAAGTTGGTCTTGGTGAGGTAGGCCACCCACGCCGGGACCGGCGTCCACGACAACGACTGGAGCCCGTGGTAACCACGGTACCGATCCGGGAGAGAGAGCCACGCTCGCGTGAAGGCCGCTCTCCATCGACCCGTCGGTACCGATCCAGAGAGAGCCATGTTGCCTGTGAAGGCCGCGCTCTCCATCAACCCGTCCGCCACCGTTGCCGTGCGCGCCTCCTCCAGGAGCGCCACCGCCGTGTGCGCCTCCTCCAGGAGCGCCACCGCGCGTCGCGCGCTGTCTCAGGCTGTCGCCGCGCGCTTCGTGGCGCGTGCTGCTACCCAGAGCGCCACCGCCGGCGCACCTCCTCGAGGCGCCGCCCGGCCGCGTCCGCGCGCTCGCTGCAGGCTGCCGCCACGCTCGTGGCGTGCATATGGCTGCCTTCGCGCCCGCCGCGCTGCCGCCGCTGCCTCTCTAGCAGCTCAAGGTTCGCGTCGGCGGTGTCGTCGGCCGAAATGGGCTGCCCGTCTGCCTTGCGAGCCTCGACCTCCGTTGCCGCCGCCGACGCGCATGCATTCGCCGCCGCCGCCGCTCCGCCTCGCTCTGCTCTTTGCTGCCAGCTCCGCCATTGCCATCCTCAACGCCCTGCCGCGCCGCGGTCTCTCTGCCGTCGCTTCGCTTCGCGTTGCTCTGCCGCGGCAGCAAGTTCGCCTCTCGCCGACGCCCGGCGTGCTCGAGGCGATCGAATTGGCCGAGCGCCCAGCGGACATGACGCGCTCTGGGGGGGCTGCTGCTGCGTGGGGAGAGGGGCTACTTCGAGCTGTTGCTTTCTGCTGGGAGTGAGCAGAGGCCGGGCTGCCGCCGCACTGGGGCTGAAATGTGTGTGGCTGGAGAGGAGATGAGCGAGGAGATGCTCAGCTCTGAGGATAATCTGGCTCTGATACCACTTGTTAGTCGCTGAATTCTGACTCTTGGTAGTAGGAAATTCTTACTCTCATCGAGAGAGGATGACACTAGGAGTTGGGGCAATTTTAGTCGCTGAATTGCTTTTAGTCGCTGAATTCTCACTCTTGGTAATAGGAGAATTCTTACTCTCATCGAGAGAGGATGACACTAGAAGTTGGGGTAATTTTCTTGTCTATTTCTCACACAAATGCCATGCCAACCTGAGGGATTGGGGTTACATATTTATAGGCTGCTAGCCAGCCAAGCATATGCCAATATGCTAGTCTAAGATGCTAATATGCTGTCCTAGCAAAGATGTTGTCCTCTAGTCTAAGATGTTGTCCTCTAAGATGCTGTCCTGCTGTCCTCTAGTCTAAGATGCTGTCCTAAAAGCAGAAAAACAGCCACAAGGACCATGTGAGCAGTACAGCCCCACAAAGACCACACATGAGACTTATCCATCATTCAACTTGTTAGTCGCTGAAATCTCACTCTTGGTAGTAGGAGAATTCTTACTCTAATCGAGAGAGGATGACACTAGGAGTTGGGGCAATTTTAGTCGCTGAATTCTCACTCTTGATAGTAGGAGAATTCTTACTCTCATCGAGAGAGGATGACACTAGGAGTTGGGGCAATTTGTCGCTGAATTCTCACTCTTGGTAGTAGGAGAATTCTTACTCTCATCGAGAGAGGATGACACTAGGAGTTGGGGCAATTTTCTTGTCTATTTCTCACACAAATGCCATGCCAACCTGAGGGGTTGGGGTTACATATTTATAGGCTGCTAGCCAGCCAACCATATGCCAATATGCTAGTCTAAGATGCTAATATGTTGTCCTAGCTAAGATCTTTGTCTGTCCTAGCTAAGATCTTGTCCTCTAGTCTAAGATCTTTGTCCTCTAAGATGTTGTCCTCTTTGTCCTCTAGTCTAAGATGTTGTCCTAAAAGCGAAAAGCACCACAAGGACCATGTAAGAGTCTGACCCCACAAAGACCACACATGAGACTTATCCATCATTCTCCCCCTAAGTCTTGTCGTGGGCGTCTTGTGGGAGAGTTGAACTCATCCAGTCTGGGCGAGATCTCAGGAACTTGATCCTCCCAAAGGGGCTTGGTGGCGGGTCCATGGCTGGTCCTTGGTGTTGATGTAGCTGGCTTCGCCTTGATGCTCCATTCCTCCAAGCGGCCGACCTCGGATGAAGTGGTACCTCACCGGGATGTGCTTTGCGTTTCGTGGAACCACGGGGTTCTTTGCCGAGGCAGGCGGACTTCTTTGTCACCTGGGCAGAGCCCGCTCTAGTGTCTCTGCCGAGGAGATCACCAAGCGGTCGAGCAAGCAAGCAGGCGCTGAGGTCGAGCGGAGGGCGCTATGTACTCGGCCTCGCGGTGGGCAGAGGCCACCACTGGGCTTTGCTGTGCCCATTGCCACTAACGGGGCAGGAACCGCCTCGTCCACTGAGAGAAAGAGAGGATCCGCTTCGTGCTCCTCAAGGTGTCGATGAAGGCCACCTTCGCATGGTGGTGGTCATTTGGCCTTTATGCCGGCACGAAGTGTGCCGCCCGGGCACCTCGGGTAGTAGAGGCCGTGGTCGAGAGTCCATAACATAGCGGATGATCCTCTTCTGACGATCTGAGGTCGTCGTCGGGTGTTGCATGAGCCGACTAACGTGGCCGGAGGAGAATGCCAAGTCCGGCCATGTGTGGGCGAGTGCGAAAGCTCCCCAAGGCAATGGTGTGCGTAGCATCCCTCCTCCTCAAATGCGTCTTTGTCGCGGCTCGACGACCTCTCCTCCATCGGGTGAGAGGCTGGGTTCGTCGATGAGCCCGGCTAGCTCAGCACCCGGCGCTTGGGCGTAAGCGATGCACTGTCGAAGTGTGATCCGGTCATTACGGTGCACCTCGATGCCCGGTGAAGAGGAGAGGCCCTAGGTGGGATCATCTCACTACGGAAGGTGGCCTTCATCTCTTCCTTGAATCGCCACCTCGCATCCTTGGTGCGGTGATCACCAAGTTGTCGGCGCGAGGTCGGCACATAGCGGCCTCCTCCGCTTCGACTCAAGCGCTTGTCGATCAGCCAGGATCTCTCCAGAGACACTGCCCCGTCTGTGGTAGATGAAGTCCGCCCGCCCCGGGTAAAGAACCCCGTGTTCCTTTTAACGCAAAGAAGCACATCCGTGAGGTACCACTTCAGCGCTTGAGGAATGGAGCATCAAGGCGAGCTACATCGTTCAAGGACGCCCTATGGACTCTGGGCCACCAAGCCCCTTGGGAGGATCAAGTTCCTTGAGATCTCGCCCAGACTGGATGAAATCAACTCTCCCACAAGACGACGCGACAAGACTTAGGGGAGAATGATGGATAAGTCTCATGTGTGGTCTTTGGGGTCAGATCAGCCACATGGTCCTTGTGGTCAAGTCGCTTTTAGGACAACATCTTAGACTAGAGGACAAAGCAGGACAACATCTTAGAGGCAAGATCTTAGACTAGAGGACAAGATCTTAGCTAGGACAGACAAGATCTTAGCTAGGACAACATATTAGCATCTTAGACTAAAGCATATTGGCATATGGTTATCGTGGCTAGCAATTATAACATGTAACCCCAACCCCTCAGGTTGGCATGGCATTTGTGTGAGAAATAGACAAGAAAATTGCCCCAACTCCTAGTGTCATCCTCTCTCGATGAGAGTAAGAATTCTCCTACTACCAAGAGTGAGAATTCAGCGACTAACACATTTCTCCTGTAATTATCTTTGTAATGAGATGGAAAATTGCTGACAGCCTTTTTAATCATATCCCCTTGGTTCACAAGTCACTCAATGTTGTTACCATGTAGAGGCACATCCGACCAAGATTCCTTCACCTGGGGAGAGGTTAATTTTATCTCATAAAAAACTTCAGAAATTCTGTATTTCACACATATATATGTTCTAGAATAGAAATCATGACGTGGATATGCACCTGGTTGGTTATCCAGAGCTTAGCTTTATCAGCATTCAAGAGGTTCCAGTAATTGAAGACCATATGATCTTGAAGGAACAGAAATCCTTGAGCACCTCCAAACCGAACAAACACCTTCGGCAAGGACCTGCAACACAAAATTACTAGTAAGAGGGGTTCTTGTATGGACCACTCTCTTTCCCTATAATACAAAGATACGCAGCTCTGCTGCATGTTCGAGAAAAAAAGTACCTGCAACACAAAATTACTAGTACACACTTACAGAGTAGCATAGTTTTGATACGAAGGAAACGAAGCTTTACTGGATGCAGCAACCAGTAAATTTTAGGGGTTTATTTAGTGTTGCGAGAATTTTATCAACAGGGTAAGAAATGATTTTACTCACTTGTAGGCTTGCCAAGTTGCTGAATTCCACAGCAAGATCAGAATTGCTTTGCTCTGAAAGAATAACAACTGCTCGAAATATCCGACCGTAAAGCAGCCTCCACTCTAGTGCAGTTCGGTCCACAAGTTCGGTCCAATGCAGTATGAGCACGATATCACCAAAATGCTTCCTCCATTTAATTAGATTGCCAATCTCAGTGCTTACTTCCCCAATCTCTTCAACCCCAAGATGCACTGAAGGCAGCTTCTTTGGTGCAAAGTCCTTGTCCCCATGTCCAATGGTTGCCCTAGGCCGGTCAATCTCCAATGACATCAACCGTGGCTGCCGGTACCCGATAGCAACAAGATCTTGCAGCCAAGCAGTCATGAAATGCAAATCCTTTTCACCCCAGAATCCCTCCTCTGTCATCGCATAGCTTAGATCAAGAATCCGCTCAAATAGTGTCCGCTTACTGGATCGCCACTCCATTAGGAATTTTATCAGCTTCCCGACATTGACATGGAGATCCTTCTCGTTATCAAATGGGTGAGCACGCACATTATCTATGCGGTGCACAGTTGGTGGGTAGACAACTAGGTACCCTCCAATCTCCCATAGTATCCTCTGAGCCCAGTATCCGCGTATGACATCCGATGCCATTGGACTCACTGACACTGGCAATGCAAGCCCCCAGAACGCCGGCGAGTGGAACAATGTGTTAACAGAGTTGACTGGCGTCATTGTGCCCTGTGGCAGCGCAACCTTGGGTGCATCCGCGTCAAACCGGAAATCAAATGCCTCCATCTCCAATGACTTCCGGGTAAAGTAGAACACTGAGTCAACATCTGGAAGTCCATTACACATCCCTTGCTGCATGAATTGGCCACCACTGAATATCTCAGTGTAGAACTCCTCAGCATCCAGCTCCCCTGCCTTCTCCAGCGGCAGCCCCTGCGGCCAGACCGACGGCTGCCCAAAGTGCACAAACGGGTTCACGACCGTCCGCGCCTCCCTGGCGCTGGTCCAGATCGACATCGAAGTGAGCGGTGAGGTTCCCACCCAGGACGGCGTTGCGAGCGTCGGCGTCGTAGATGACCCGCGCCACGCGCTGCACGGCGAAGAGGTACGCCGCGGCCTTGCGCGCCGGTCCCCGGGCTGGAAGGAAAGCGACGGAGCGGAATCCGAGGCGGGCCTGGTCGGCGAGCGTGAGCAGCACGGCGCCTGGCTGGGACCAGTCCGCGGGGGTCGCCTCGTCGGCGACGGCGAGGAGCTGCCACCCCGGGACCGCGCGCAGCGGCCGGTGCCGCGGGGCGTGCGGCGACGCGGTGAAGACAACCCAGCGAGAGCCGTGGAAGTCCGGGTGCGGCGAGGTGGGGAGCGCGGGGAGCGGGGGCACCTTGGACCAGAGCACGGACGGGTACGGGAGGTGGCGGGGCGCGCGGTAGGAAGCGGGGCAGAGCGCGGACGGGGAGGTGCCGCCGTAGAGGAGGAGCAGCAGGAACGGCGCCGTGGCGAGCGCCGCGAGGAGGACGTAGACGACGCGCCTAGATGCGGGTGTGGAGGTAGTGGGCAAGGCGTGCGGTGGCATTTGGGTGTTGGGGGAGGGAAAGGGGTTGACTCGATGCCGCCGGGTAAAGCGCGAAAGTCGCGGCGCCGCGCTGGTAGCCGCCGCCGGTGAGATTGTTCGGCACTTCGGCCGGCGAGGGGACCGGAAGGGCCGACGGCGTGGACTGCGTGGTCTTGGGGGAGTAGGCTCTAACGAGTTGGACTTGGACCGAACTGAGGGCCCTGTTTCCTGGGCAATTTTCAATACCATGGGCCTGATTCGAATCTTGATTCGGCCCATCAAACAATTTAGGCGAAACAAATCCGGCGTTCCAAGACGCTCGAAATTTCAAAATGGCACTGCTCCCCTGTCAGCCACACGGCCACGCCCCCCGAAACTTTTCGAAATCCCCAGCCCCCGGGCCCCGGCAACCGCTGCCTCCGCCACCACCAGGCCAGTCGGCGACTGCTCCTCCTCTGCCGGAGAGCGCGGCCGGCGGCATGGGAGCGGAGTATCCCACCTTCGCCGACGTCTCCGGGGCCCGCGCCCTCCTCTTCCTCGCCGACTCCACGCCCCCGCCGGCACCGCCTTCGCCTCCTCCCGCTCTCAGGTACTTTCCTCGCCTGCCTCGCGTCATCCGCTCATCGCCCCACCGAATTGCACTTCATCACCGCAATTTAACCGAGCCTCCGTTGCGGCGCGCTTCTCCGCATTGCAGCGACGAGTTCTCCTGCTACTCGGGCTCCTCGTCCTCCTACTCCGGCGCGTCGGCGAGGTCGTGCGTCTCCGACTCGGCGCAGCGCGGCCGCCCCGTCGACCCCCTCCGTGTGCTCTCCGTCGTCGCCTCCCTCCGCCGCGTCGACCCTAAGGTGTGCAATCCGGTTCCTCGATTAATGATCAGCACGCGGTTGCGAGAAGTTCTCTTCTGTGATTACGCACTGATGGCTCTGCTCCTTGGCTCCAGGTGCTCGCCGAGGCCACAAGCGCGCTGTTCCATACCGACGCAGAGAAGAAGCGGAAGGGCGTGTGGATCGAGATCGACAGCGGCAACAACGAGGATGACCAGAGCGAGAGGAGCAGCGCCGTGGCCAGCGAGGGGAGCACCGTCACGGCCGCCGCGTCCGCGGGCTCCACAGCCACGTCGGGGAGATGCCGCCGGGCTCCGCGGGTGGGTTGTGCTGCTGGTGGGACTGGGAAGGGGCCGAGGAGGGCGGACGTGATCATGCAGTGGTTTTCACGGCCGCAAGCTGGGCCAGCTACCGAGAATGACATCCGCGCCGCCGTCGGCGACAACTCCGGCACGAGCAAGGCGATACGCTGGTGAGCTTGACTCTGCCTCCGACTCCCATTTGAAGCGGTTTTGCAATGGTTGCCTGATTGCTGCCTAAACCTGTGTATCTGCGTGCTTCCGCTCGTGCAAAATTTGCAGGCTGCTGAAGCAGGAGGGCTGCTTGCGGCGTGCAGGCACTGGTGGTGCCCTGGATCCGTATGTTTATATGGTATGTTAAACTCGTGCAGACTACTTGAATTAGGATGGTAGTTGGAATTGCATTTTTAAATCCGCAATGTGTTGTGCACAGTTATGAACTTCAAAATCAGTGAATTGAAATGTAGAATTCCTAGAACTGCAAATTAGGATTTAGGAACTTGCCGCAGCCCGCAAGCACAAGGAGTCATTTTAACCATGTCTTAGTTTTTCTGATGTGCATTATAGTTATTGACTCGCATGATATATCGTGTATACTAACTTTCTGAAAACAAAATTCAGGTCGCAGACTGATCCGATGAAGTTAACTAAGTTTTGTTTATAGCAATGGAGATGTTTACTGTAAGGCTATTGGAGAGGCCAAGTTATCTTCTGAAGTGTATCTAGTAATTTCTACCTGCTGTTGTCTTAATGGCCTGGTTTTGCCTTCCCACGGAGAAGTGTAGGATAGAAGTTAAGTCGTCATGTTAGCACGATGAAGATAAGCTCTTGGACAGAAAATGGCAAGATAGAATCTCAAGTATAAGTTTAGTATAGAAAGTATAGCAATGAAGATAGCATGCTTTCGTTGTTGATTTATGCTGAGACGGTATATCGTATAATCAAATATATATATATGGTTTGGATTATCGAATAAAATGAGATCATTTTTCAGCTTCTTGAATGCAATGAAATTTTAATTCGCCCCTTTTCTTTTTCTTATGGCATATATGTTGTTGAACTTGTGTGTCATTTGTCTGTGATCTAGTCATTGTGCTTCTATTTGTTCTATTATGGAGGATCAAGGTTTTCAAAGATGCCAACTTATTCCCTTGCAACAATTAACAAAGCTAGAGATGTCGAGTCTTGAGACTCAATCATCTGCATGGTTTCTTAAGCTAAATCTGACATACTAAGAGGATATGCAGAGTGAACTTTTGTGTGACACCTGAAGCCATTGGTCCTCTTGTTTGAAATTCTAGCTCCTCTTCTTGGAGAGCATATGCTTGAACCAGAAAGCTGAGTCCTTGGGGTACCTCTTCAGCGTCTTGTAGTCCACATAGACCAAGCCAAACCGCGAAGTGTACCCAAGCCTCCACTCGAAGTTGTCAAGCAGCGACCAAGCAAAGTACCCAATGACTCTTGCACCGCCATCTATTGCCTTCTTGAGCTCAGTTATGTAGTCTCGGTAATAACAGATTCTTACTGTGTCATGCACACCCTGAGTAATACTGACATCACCAGGCTGGTCCATTCCTGCAAGAGCATAACACTTATTATAACCAATCCATAGACCATTTTCCTTGGAAATTTGAATTTTGATTCATGAGTACCATTTTCAGCAAGGATCATTGTAGGATTTTCATAAGTTTCCTTGACATAGTTGACAGCCCTGTTGATTCCCCACGGCACAATGTACAGCCAGTAGGAGTTTGCCTGCACAGCTCAAAGAAATTTACAGTTACATAATCAGAGGCAAACCAACTTTCAGTTCTCCCTGCTTTCGATGTTTGAAGACATCTAGCAGCATACTTACATGAGCGCCAATAGGAACGCCGTTTCGTTCGTCTGCAGAAACATGTGAGAAGCATATGACTGAATGAGCATCTAGTCACAGTTGACAGCAGCACAATAAACTGCAGAATTCAAGAATTTGGTATGTCGAGTCAGAAACTTACAGACAAAACCAACATGCCAATCATCCTGGTAGCTGACTGGCGTCAGGTTCCATGTCCCAGGGTCCTTCATGTAGAAAGAAGTGTAGTGGTTGATGCCAACATAGTCTATAGAGCCTTTCACCATCCTGGATTCTTCATCGCTGAACAATGGCAACCTGTCTTTGACAATCTCTTGCATCGAGTACGGATACCGTCCATTTATAATGGGATCAAGGAACCTGTAAGAAGAATGTAGTATCAGTTTGTTCTTGGCAACGAGCTGTGTTAGTTTGTTTCCCTCCAAGATAAGATATCAACAGTTTGTGCCTAGTACGCTATAATAATGTCACTGACTCATTGATACAATGAACCTCTAATAAGGTCTGCAATGACATTTGGTCCTTAATCAAGTATGTGTTTTCAGGGCTTTACCAGCCTAGGTGGAAGTCCCTGGCTCGCTGTGCTGCAGCCTGGTCTGCATTGCTGTCGCTGAAAGGTTCGTACCACACGAAATCCAAGAGAATTCCAATTCTACCTTTTTGGTAAAGCTGTTCGTTTAATGGAAAAAGAGATACAGATCATATTTCAGATGCCTGAGCACTAACATTTAAACTGAACTAAATTTGCACCGTGCAATTCACACTTCAGAGTTCTGGGGCTTGAAATGGTTAGCAGGTCTGCATTTTACCTGATACTTGTCGCGGTATCGCCTCACCGCAGCTGCATGAGAAAGGATGAGATGGTGTGCAGCAAGGTATGGCTCCGTTGTGGAGTTGCCTCCGGCAGCGCATTTGGAACACCTTCCCGGTGCGTGCAAGCCATTGTCGTAGCCCAGAGCGGCGACGCACCTTGGCTCGTTGAAGGTAAACCAGTTCTTCACCCTGTCCCCGAACGTCTGGAAGCAGAACTCGGCGTAGTCTGCAAACGCCTCCCTTCAATCATGGGCACAATGTGCAGTTGGCTCAGACTGACTGACAGATGGTTAAATCAATTTGAAACTTGATTTCTCGATGTGTAGTTCGAAATTCTTACACAATCTTTGGGCTAAGCCAGCCCAAGTACTGTTCATGGAGTGCCAATGGGAGGTCATAATGGTAGAGATTTGTATACGGGGTGATGCCTGATTTTTTTTTAATGGGGGGCAACAAAGCTTAATCAGGAATCTGAATGTTTCCTGAAAGAATATATACTAACTGCCATATTGGAGAAACTCACCTTGCTGAAGCATGTAATCTATGAGCCTGTTATAGTAATCCACTCCTTCCTGGTTCACCTTGCCAGTTCCATCTGAATATATTATATTTTATATATACAGAACTCTACATCAGAAACTCCTCGGACCCAAGAAAAATCACAAAATGGAGCACGCCTACTTGGGAAAATCCTCGACCAAGAAATCGAAAAGCGGTACGCATCAAAGCCCATGTTCTTCATTATGTTCACATCTTCCTGTGCCTCGAAGAGCATCCATCAGGCATCACAAAACAACAAGGAGCACCAAATAAAAAAAAACACAGCATTCAGAAAACACACCTTGTACCGATGATACTCGTCGACCGTCACATCAGCGGTGGCATTGTTAGGGATGGTCCCTTATTTTTCATTCCCCCAACAACAAGAACACAAATTCAAGCATCATTACTGTCACCGCTTCGTTATCCCAAGAATCAGAAGAAAAAAAAACCATGGTTGTGTTGTTGAAACTGCTCTGCTTACCAGGTACCTCTATGAAGGCGTCCCAGATGCTGGGGCCCCGGCCCCCGTGCTTGGCCATCCCCTCGACCTGGTACGCCGACGCGGCAGTCCCGAAGACGAAGCCCTCCGGGAACGTGCGGCGGCTCAGCCCGCCGGCGTCGTAGATCTCCGGGTTGAGCCAGTAGCATCGCGCCGTCGGCAGCGGCAGCAGACCATGGTGAGCTGCTGCCGCTAGCAGTAAAGCTAGCACCGCGAGCTTCACGGTGCTCTGCATGGTCCCAGTGGAAGCAGCAAAGGCCGGAGACACAGGCCGTGCTCCCCGAAGGCTTAAAAGAGGGAGGAGGGCGAGCCTTTGCCCTGTGCCCCTGTTCCTGTTGTTTGTTTAACTCGAGTTCGAAACCGACAGTTCGAGTCAGTGTTGTGTGTGTGTGTGTGTGTTTTACTGCGTTGCCGATTGCGTGGCTCTGTTTGTCTTTTTTATACCCCCAACGACGAGATGAAGGATCCACATATCCGGTGATCGCTTCAATGATTGATCCCATCAAAGTTTCTAAGTTTTTTCACTCTCTCTTCGTCACATCAATTTTTAGTCGCTTGCATGGAGTATTAAATATAGGTAAAAAAATAACTAATTACACAGTTTAGTTGAAAATCACGAGATGAATCTTTTGAGCCTAGTTGATCCACGATTGGACAATATTTGCCAAATAAGACGAAAGTGGTACTATTCATCAGGTTGAAAAAAGTTTCAATCTAAATAAGGCCTTGGCAAGTTTTCTTGGTTATACTCGTATGTTCCTTTTTATCTATTGCTACCATGTTCCTTTTTATCTATATCACTATATTTATAATAAATATTAGCAATATTTGTGTTGGATTCGTAAACCCAGGGTCCCTCGTGGACTGGCTTTCCCGCAAAGGCTCGACCCAAGCAGACAGCGCACAACTCATGGGCCGGCCCAAATACATTAGTGACAGGCCGGAGGAGTGATCCAATCTCCGACTGGAAAGGCAGACCGAGGAGGAACCGCGCCTGTTTTCCGAACCTGGCTCACCTCTCCAACCGGAGCACAAGTTGAAACCGCAATACAGGGACCATACCCTGCGCACCTGCCAGGCAATACCCTGCGACCATCCCTGGCACAACAGAGCCAAAACAATGTTGTAGGCACCGACTTTTTTCCTACAGTATTGTGGCCGCCATTAACTCCCATACGGTAAGGCACCCCACATGCCTCTGGGCATCGACAGTGTTATGGGCGTCGGCATTTACCGTATCGAGTGAACATGGTAAAACCACTCACATGCCTCTGGGCATCAACAGTATAGCAGGTACCGACATCTGTCATGCCCGAACAAGACGACGCAACCTCCCATGTGCCTCCGACACTCAACAGTATTGTGGACGCCTACCATTATCCTATACCCGCCGACGTGCGGACGGCCTCTTCGATCGGAAGGCCTAGCCAAAAGCGTCGCTTCCGACTCCGACCCCGCGCTCTCCGACCAGGGATACGCCAAACTCCTGCTCACTGCTCCGAATGGCGCAACCAGAGCCGCCTGGAACCAACCGACCGGGGACACCCGCTCGGTAAGGACTAAGAAACATCCGGAGAAAGTAAGGTAGGGCGCATAAGTCAAAGCCGCAATACAGGGACCATACCTTGCGCACCTGCCAGGCAGTACCCTGCGACCATCCCTGGCACAACAGAGCCAAAACAGTGTTGTAGGCACCGACTTTTTCCCTACAGTATTGTGGCCGCCATTAACTCTCATACGGTAAGGCACCCACATGTCTCTGGGCATCGACAATGTTGTGGGCGCCGGCATTTACCGTATCGAGTGAACATGGTAAAACCACTCACATGCCTCTGGGCATCAACAGTATAGCAGGTACCGACATCTGTCATGCCCGAACAAGACGACACAACCTCCCATGTGCCTCCGACACTCAACAGTATTGTGGGCACCTACCATTATCCTATACCCGCCGACGTGGGCAGCAAGACTCGGTAGCATACGTGCACTCCCCCTCTCACTTATAAGGCCATCTCCTTCGTCTATAAAAGTGAAAGGACCTAGGATGCCGTCTAGAGGGGGGGTGAATAGGCGTTTCTGAAAATTAACACCTTTAAATGCGGAAACAATTAGAAAGGGGAGTTTTCAAAATGGAAACTCCAAATTAAGAGTACTACCACCACTCACAAGTTAGCCACAGAGTAAACAAGGTATAAAGAATATATCTATAAGCTACAACCCTGCAACAACAAGTTAGAACAGAGAATAAATATTTTGGGTTTGGTAGGAAAAATACGGACGTGTCCCAGATGAATACCGGACGTGTCCCAGATACACGATTTCGCAGATCGCCCCAAACTTGCTCCTTTCGATTTCTATCTTCAAACCAAACTGCAGGCACCTAATGGAGATGACAATATACACAGAGAACTCCGCAGAATAGCTAGAGCAACACAAATATCAAATGAAATGCGAATTGAGACACGATATTTGTTTTATCAGAAGTTTGGACTCGTTCGAGTCCTACTCTCCGTTGAGGGGGCTCATGGCGACCCAAAGAAAGGTCACCCTAGAGGGTACCACCGAAGGTCACTCTAGACGGAGTCTTTTCCAACTCCTTTTCCTCCTTCCACTAATTTGATTCCGAGGCGGCGGAATCGACTGCTATAAACTTTCGAGGCACACCACAATCTCTCGGGTGCTCTCCGTGACGCTTAACCGTCTAGGACCGAAGAGTCCAAGAGTAACAAATGCGAATCACGAGATTGACAATATGCACAAGTGCTCAAGTGGTGGCTTGCTCTCCTTTTCAAATTCTCTCTTAACCCACAAATTGATTTTGCAATTTGGATCACACACTCACTAAGAGAGGGTTTAGGAGAGTTGGCAAGGCTCAAAGACGTGTGTCTATCTCAGCAGAATCAGCAGCCTCCAAAGGTGGAGGCTTGGGGGTATTTATAGCCCCCTTGAAAAACTAGCCGTTTTATAGTCGTTGCAATACCGGACACGTCTGGTATGTATGACTTACACTGCCCCAACGGTAACTAAGTTACAGTGAAGTTGTGAGGCGTCGAAACTCCCGATGAATGCCGGAACTCCCGACCGCCGAAACTCCCGACTCATGTCGGAACTCCCGATCCTCAGCAGATTTGAAAACCATGTAACTGAGTTAAAGAGTATGAGGTGTCGGAACTCCCAACACATTCCGGAACTTTCGACCGTCGAAACTCCCGACTCACGTCGGAACTCCCGAACCTCAAGGCTTTGGAAAACTAGCCGTTGGCCTCTGGTCGTCCATACCGGACACGTCCGGTATGACCAGGACAGTGAACCCTCCAAGACAGTTAAAGTGTGAGACGTTGGAACTCCCGACCCTTGCCGGAACTCCCGACCATTGAAACTCCCGACCTACGTCGGAACTCCCGACGAATCAACCCGAAAACAACATTTTTATAGTTACTGGGCAAATAACGAACACGTCCGGTATGCATACCGGACACGTCCGGTAAGGCCAGACCAGCAACAAGTCAGTTAGCCTTTTTGTCTCTCAAACACTCAAATCTCATATGGGTTGGCTTGAGCACTTATGAAACATTATCTATCAACACGATGCATCCCTCTTAATAGTACGGCATACCTATTAAACTCAAGATCAAAGGAAAAATGGATTTATACCACTTGAGTTGATCTCTTTTGAATTGATGCCGCCTCTTTCAATCTTCATCAAGTAAGGGTGCTAACATGTTGATATTGATCTTTTCACTTGAGCATAGCCATCTTGAGCACGTGACTTGATTCCATTCATTAAATTTGAATAATCCCAAATGTATCAAGTCACTTCCATCAAACAATCCAATAGTGATTTGATCCCACATGAACATGGCCATCATAGCTTGATTAGTACCTCAACTAAATGCAAGTACTTTCTTCTTCACCCTAGCTAGGTTCTTCGGCCGTCAAGCCGTCGCTTGCCCTTCACCCTTGCTTAGTACCTCGAAGCCTTTCCTTGCTATCTTTACCATCTCAAGCCATCAAGTTACTTCTTGTGTTGAATCATCCATTCATTTGTATTGTTATCTTTTTCATTTCAATTTAGCAAGCTTCAAGTATGAGACCATTCCATATGCAATTTCTCATGTCTCATTAATTAATTCTCATGAGCTTGCTTTCACATACCAAATGGAAATCCCACAATAAATGAGTCTTTGCATGAATAACATTTGCATTGTTGTCTTGTGCTTGAACTAGATTGTTTATACAACAACACATCATTTTGGCTTTCATTAAGTACTCATGAGATAACCTATAACCTGTCCATACTTAGCAAACGGGTTAGACCTTTAATCATGTTGTCATTCAATCATCCAAAACCCACTAAAGGGCTAGATGCACTTTCAAAAAGGGGATGCACCCTCTCTCAAAAGGGACGGTTAACGTAGATTCAGTCAAATTAATCCAGATCTATTAGATCAACCAAGTTCACTAGCACACAATCATAGAACCGCCAGGTTCGAACCACAAGCACACGCTTGAACACTTAGCCATAACGGAGCCCCCGTCTCTCTCTCGACGCTTGGACTAGAGTCCGACCGGGCCTCTTGCTCCCCATCTTTCTCTTTCTCGTTTGTAACTCCACTGCAAACTTCGAGTGCCTGGACTCAGAAATAAAGTCACCGACCGACTCAAACTGGACGTAGGGCATGTTGCCTGAACCAGTATAAACCCTGTGTCATTGAGTGTTAGGCCACCTCCGATCACAACGTACGGTAAAACTACAAATATTCACTTATTGGTCACTTTCTACACCGACAATTTGTATCTTCAAATAAGTTTATTTTAAAGATTGATTCAACGATCTATCTAATAACATTAATTATGTACCACAAATACTAATATTTCTTATATATATTTGGTCAAAGTTGAATATAATTGACTTTATGAGAAGTGAGAACGCATATAAACAGGAACGGAGAGAGTAGCTACTGGTCAGAAAACAAGTCCATTAGATTTAGATTGATTTTTTTGTTGGTTATCAATCACATTGATTGATAATATTTTCTCTGATATACTCCCCCTCCCCAAATAAAATCGACTTCTAGAGTTGTTGTTCCTAGTCAAATTATTCTAAAATTGACTTAATTTATAGAAAAATAGCTCCAACATTTTTTACATCAATTTAGTATCTTGATATATTTTATTACATAATCTACTCATTTAGTGTCATAGATATTGTTATCTTTTTCTATAAATTAGGGC